AATCAAAGTATCAAAATAATTTAGAAACTCTTCAAATAGGGTACATATTCCTCAGCATCAATACTGTAATCAAAGTATCAAAATAATTTAGAAACTCTTCAAATAGGGTACATATTCCTCAGCATCAATACTGTAATCAAAGTATCAAAATAATTTAGAAACACTCTTCAAATAGGGTACATATTCCTGTTGGCTTTATGTGAACTTTATTTTAAGTAAACCTCAAATGATTCTAAGAAGAGAACATATACCAGTTGAAAGACTAATTGACTTATCAACAAAGAAGTGACCATTTTATTCTGTTTAATAGTAAGACAGCTTTATTTCTTTAAGAAAACTTCCAATGATTTACCCCATCTTTTGTGTTTCTGTAACTGATTTGCCTCAGCAAATTCTAGATTTATTGTATGTGGCACATAGCAGGCAAAAAATGGGAATACAACTTGTGGATGTTTCTGACACGAAATCCCTAAAACAAGGTAATAAATATGTGTTTAAATTAACTTAATTAGTATTTGTCAAAATACAAATTATTAAGTATCAAGTATAGCAGTTTTAGGTATATATTACACAGTTGGGTGGGTAGTATGCAGTATAATGAAAGTTTATTTTGCACAAATATTGTACAAGTTACAGTTCAGTAATACTTGTGAATCGTCTTAATACTGTGTTAATTATTAGTTAGATTCTTGGATTATGAATCCAGCCAAAATAGCTGATCTGGATTTGTGTTGTTGGTTGACGTGATGTTTCTCACACAGGTAACTGAAAACATTGATCTGAATATATTTTATACGACATTAGATTTTTGAATGTTTTCATTTATTTTTTAGTGATCCTCTGAAGAATGTGAATAATAATAATAATATGTACTATAGCTTTTATGCTAGAAAGTTTTTTAAATATACTGAATATAGTGTGAGCAGAAGCTTTTGTGATATAAAAACAACGTTAACATAACTAAAACAAACTACATTGGTTTTGAGTATGTTATATTAAAATAATTTTTGATATGCAAATCAGTAACTTGCAACAACCAATATAAAGTTACATAAGATCTGTATGTTGTAGAACTATATTTTGTCATTTTAACTGATTGCGTTTGGGAAGGGTGTGTAAGAGTCCATTCCAACACAAAATATTCTTATGCTAAGATCATAAACATGTGGTCAGATTGGCGATTTAAAATTTAATAGGTGGGAATATCTTTTGTACTTAACGTCATTGGAAAACAAAGAAATATGGATCAACTTGGGGATTAAGACCATTCAGAAAGAGACCTGCAATTAGTTGTACCTTAGCCTTGGTAAGCATAGTATGTTGTCTTGTAACAGATGAGAATCCACGCACAAAAATCAGTGGCTGGCAAAACAATGTGCAACATAATTGAGAAGGATATTTGTCTGGAAAAGTGACAAATCAGTTGTACCATTGCATACCTAAAGCACTTGGACAATGAAATTGGTGTTCATGCAATATCATATGAAGACGTTCTGGCCAATTTATTGGTAGCAGGGCCAATGCATTTCTGTGGGATAAGATTGTTAAAGTGGTTGCTGTACTAAATGAATATGGAAAGACAGCAAGTAAATGTGGAGCGCATTAGACATGACAACCTTACAGTAAAGACTCTTGCAATGAAAACTACATTGCAGAGCTATTGTCAAAATAGCACATCAGATTTTAATGATAATTTTCTCCAGTTTAACTTCAAGTGTGCACTTAATGTCAGTAACTAGATCTCAAGGAGCCAAGTTTTGTTGCTCTCCCCTAATTAAACTGTTTCTCGTTTCGAATATTTTCCTTTCACTTCCTGGCCAGGTGGTTAGGAAGTACGACTCGCAATCTGTGGGTCGCGGGTTCGAATCCCCATCACACCAAACATGCTCGCCCCTTCAACCGTGGGGGCGTTATAAAGTGATGGTCAATCCCACTATTCGTTGGTAAAAGAGTTGGCGGTGGGTGGTGATGACTAGCTGCCTTCACTCTGGTCTTGCACTGCTAAATTAGGGGCGGCTAGCTCAGATAGCCCTCGTGTAGCTTTGCGTGAAATTCATGATAAACCACAAACCCTTCACTTCCAGTATTGAGAATTTGAAATACCGATTTTCAGGAGGCGCTGGGACAGCTATCGATACGCCACAACAAAGTTTGATTGATAGGTTGATAATTATGAAAAACTACTCATTAGGTCAAGAGGTTACAGTGTGTTGTAGATTTTATTTGTACTTCTTGATATAAAACATACACTTATAATAATCGCTCTTCAGACCAACGAATAAAGTATATACTCAATACTTCTACCCTCTAAAATTTGGTGTTCGCCCTGCGGTGGGCAGAGCGCAGATAGTCCATTGTGGAACTTTGCCCGGTAAATAACGAGCGTTTGGAGAAAACGGTTTAACTTTTACGTATATTATTTTGTTATCTGTCGCATACAAATATCTGTCTGATTAGCAAGAGCAAACAATGAAATATTTGGGTTGACTTGAAACGTTTTGTTCCTTAAAATTTCAATATTTTCTCAAACGGTCCTTCATTTGGCATTCGTGATGTTAGAATAATACGTAGGCTCAATAAGTCTTGATACAAAATGATAAAAACTCTATAACCCGAGCGCTTTCGAAAGGTGGGCCTTTCTACTTCAGGGGCAAACTGGTATATTATTCTTACTAACCTCTATTTAAGTCTATCGTATTTTGTTCATTGTTGTAAATCTGAAGGCATATATATAGTCAAGTCAGTTTTTCCTAAGACGGCGCCTTTTATCTAAATGAGATTGACACGATTTGATTATTTGCGACTTTTGTCTTATTTTAATACATATAAATGAATTAACAACAGAGGGTGTTTTTCATTTAATTGCATGTTTTGTTTGTTTGTTCTTTAGAACAAAGTTACACAATGGGATATATGCGATCTTTTTAGCATGAAGAATCGAACCCCAGATTTTAGCGTTATAAGCCCTTGAACTTCCATTGACTCACCAGGGGAACCTTTTGATTACAAAGTGCAGGTTAAGTTTCTGTAGAGGTTCTCTATACTCCATATAAAATGGGGACGGATTAGGAATAAGCTACAAGGGTATGTAGGTAAACGATATATTACCTGTTAACTAACGGAGAATTAAAGGTAAAAGACTTGCACTCTGTCCAGTAATGCTGTTAGGCTACTTCCTTTACGGCTGGTCCTATATATAGTCATCATGCCATTGAATGACAGAAACTACACACACAACAGTCGTAAAAAGGCTCTTCACACGATGAACGTGCACATCGTAAGAAAAAACATATACGCTACGGTTCGCAGTAGTTGTGTAACGAAAATAAGAACCGAACCGTGCCAACAAAAGCACTATATAAATTGGAAGTAGGGGATTTGTGATCTCCAGCCCAGCGTGCTTTGCTGGCTGTTTTATGTAGAAATAGTCGATAATAACATGAATAGTTACCCCCCCCCCCCCTGGGGCTAGCGATCAAATCCAACTATCTAGTCGGACTCTTGTCCGCTTTGGGTGCTGTTGACTACCTGCTTTCACTCTCTAGTCTATCAGTTCAATAGTTAGGGATGACTAGTATAGTTAGCCCTTGAGTAGGTTTGCGCGAAAATGACAATATAAAATATCTTGTATTGTTAGCTGCAGCCAAGATCGATACTCTGTATCAGATATTTGTTTTCTCGACTCTGCTGTTATAATTGTGTTCTTTCGATGCCTCAAGTAGATAAATAAGATAACAAATCCATAGCGAAAACACATATAGCAATAAACTACCGTATACAACTACAAAACTTTCTGATCTCGTGGGTTTTGATGTACATTACTGAGGTATTTTCATTGTGCTTATAAAGCTAAGTGTTAACCTTATGCACCAAAATGAATTTTGTGGTCTTACATATAGTTTTTTTGTTTTGTTTTTTTAATATTGCAGGATGTTGATGTATCTAGCATTTTGGGTAAAAATGTTCGTACACGATTGTTGTGTGTATATATATGTAACCACTTATTCAGCTACTGAAGAGGAACACTGTTCATGGACGTTATACTGTATGCTCCGGACCGTCCAAATATGTCTCTGTATTGATCAGTGTTGGGGTATTGGCTGTTAACGTGTCCTGGTAATACATAATAATTCAAGAAATTGAGCCATGGCTTGGTGGTTAGGGCGCTCGACTCGCAATCTGCGGGTTCGAATTCCCGTCATCGAACATGCTGGCCCTTTCAGCCGTGGGGGCATTATAATATGACGGTTAACCCCACTATTCGT